AAAATATATAACACTGTTCTAGTAGTTTTTGGATATTTTAATAAAACAATCTTACATATTGTGCCTTTAAATGTGATAAGTCATTTTTTAATAAAAGTGTCTGACAAATGCATAAATGTAAATGCTTGATGTGTAAGTAAATGTGTTTATTATCCTCCAGTTCTCCTGCTGGAATGATTGAAGGAACCCCACAGCTGCACGTCAATGCCTGGAAAGTGTCTTCAGCGTGCATAAGCCCTGTTAACATTCCTATTATCGACCCCTGTGAAATGAATCAACAAAATGGTACTTATGCTATCACTTTGCTTATTAGTTACAATATCCATGGTTGTCCCAAAAATGAGCTCTGAGGTTACAGAAGAGACCAAAATGTATGTAGGTGCAGATGCTTATTTAGAATTTATTTTATTGTTTTCTTAATTCTACTTATTTAATTTTTTATGTATGCATGTACGTAGCGAGAGCTCCTGGAAACCATACCAATCTCCTTGTGTGTATGAGCATAAAGCCTATTCTGAATTTAATTGTTGTTAGATTCTGTGGCCTCTATCCTCTATCCCTATGTTAGCATTTAATCTGATGTTTGATTTCTAGACTTTCATGTGATGCTAAAAAGGTTTTTGTTTCAGCGTTTTATGCTGCCCGGTGTGATGTGCTTTTGGAGGAAGTGTTTGCGGCGTGCCATGCATATGTTAGTCCCAGCATGTACCACCAGCAGTGCCGCTACCAGGCCTGTCGATGTGGCAGCACCTGCCTCTGCACTGCTCTGTCCCACTACGCATACATCTGCAACAAGCATAATGTCACTGTCAACTTCAGAGCACACGTCTCTGAGTGCGGTTCGTTGCTCATACCTACATCTCTCTGTCTGCCTATCTATCTGTCTATTGCATGAGTCATTTGTGAATGTGTGTGTGTAGGTATGGTGTGTTTAGGAGGGATGATGTATCACCCGTGCACATCAGCATGTGGGAAGACGTGTCAGTCAATCAGCAGTGGTGAAGTGTGTGATGGCGACTGTGCTGAAGGATGCAGCTGCACCGAGGGAACATTCTACGATCACGCTCGCCAGCGCTGTGTGTCACTGTACGTCTGAATACACCAAACGCCAACAACCCCACCCTCGCCTTGTCATTTCTGAATACTAGCTTATAAAAGGACATAGTTTCTCCTTTTCTAACTGGGTCTTGTTTCCTTTCAGCTCCCAGTGTCACTGTTATTTCATGGGTTCAGTCTTTCAGCCTGGTGAAGTGTCCTTCAGCTCATCTGGACCATGGTGAGTGTGTGGACATGGAGGATTGTGTTGTCAAACATGTACGTTTGCATGGACCGAAGAGCTGAGTTCGAATTCTAAACGCATCATTTCCCAATCTTGTCATTTTTAATTATAATAATATTTCACAATATTACTGTTTTACTGTATTTTTGATTATTTAAATGCAGGCTTGGTGAGCATAGGAAACTGATTATCCATACATAAGAATGTGTGCTATTTATTTCATTTAATTAAAAATGTTTTATTTAACGTGTATATTTTTATCATTTATTTTGGATATTGCTGTTTGTTTAAATTTCATAATGATTTTTCTTTAGTCTCTGCACAAATGGTCGTATGGAGTGTGTGCCTGAAGAGAGAGGTAAACTTTTATTTTTAATTTTTTTCTTTGCTCCATTTCATCAGTCTTTTTGACCCTCTATTCACTTTCACCTCTATTTTCCCCGGGAAAAAAGTGTTTTCATCTTAGAGGGTCAGCAGTACATTCCTCAGAGGTAGCGCACTGAGCGGACTGAATGCTGGACAGATCTGAACCTCAGATACACATGCACAAAGAAAGAGGGAGACTTGAGGGTTGGAGATAGCAAATTCCACTTTTTTCTCTTTTTTCTTCTTGTTTTTTTGACTTTTTTCCAGACTTTTTCAAATGACAAAATACTAAGACATTGCTCATTTGCAAGATTTGGCTGTTATTTAAAATCTTCAGTACAGTATTCAGGTGGCTGCATTATTAATGTGTCCATTTTTGTTTTTCAATTCAGTACATTTTAATAATTTAGACTGAACTGGTTGCCTGATGATAATTAGTAGTGCAATCATCACTATTACTCATACTCATGACTATGGATTTGAACACAGCCCTAACTCAGATTGCTAAACGTTGGCACATAACTCTTTCCTCATTGTTTTAAATGACACCTGAAGTCATGTGTCTTGTTGAAGAGAATGGAAACTTTCTTTCAACCATTCTCTTTCCATCCATTTTTTTCAGAGCCTGAGAGAGGAGATTGTTCCAGTGGAAAAGTCTACTATAGCTGCAGGGGTCAGAGTGGACGTGGACCTTCAGGTGTGGGCGTGGCCTGTGAACTGACCTGTCGAAACCTGATGCTGAACCTGACCTGCCCTCCCATGACCCCATGTGTACCAGGATGTGGATGTCCTGCTGGGTAATCACTGTCGTCTTTGCATTTGGAACAAATGTTTTGAAAAGTATGCGTGTCTATTGACACCAGAGCATGTAATGTTACACCATCTTCTTCAATTGGTGCAGGCTAGTGGCTCATAATGGAGAATGCTATCTCCCGGAGAACTGCCCTTGTGCATGGCTCGGTCTAGAGTATCTCCCTGGAGAGACAGTGGACACTCCATGCTACCGCTGGTCAGTTGGTTTTAGTGTGCTTAGCTTCCATAATTCAGTTTTCTGTTAATGGGTGGTTCTTCAATTAGTGGAATTTTTCTGTTCCCTGTCTGTGTCTAATTACTATTTCCAAATTAAGAGTGTTGAAAGGTTATATATGACAGAGAATCCCTTTTAACGTTTAAAATGTGTCTTGAGCACTAAATCAGCATATTAGAATGATTTCTGAAGGACCATGTGACACTGAAGACTGGAGTAATGATGCTGAAAATTCAGCTTTGCATCACAGGAATTATTACATTTTTACATTACATTTTTACTGTATTTTGATCAAATAAATGCAGCCTTGGTAAGCATAAGATACTTTTTTCTAAAACATAAAAAAAAAAAGTCTTACCAACCCCAAACTTTATTTTCTCCCAAAAATTATAAATGTCATTACCATTACAAGTCATAACAAAAATCCACACCATGATGCATTATAACGAAATTCAATTTATGGTTGTTAAGGCCACGATTACATCTTTATTCCACATTTGATAGTTGTTTTAATATAGATGAAACACAGTTAGAAAAAAATATTTTTAAATAGTTTAAATAATCAGAAAAGCCACTAATAGAGGAATAATAGTGTAGAGTATGTGTTAGGGATGGAACGACGGTAACGGGAATAGAAAATGGTAATAAAATATAACAAGAACTCAGAGTTAAACTGTGTCAGAACAAATTCAGTTTGATAATGTCAGATAACTTTGATAGAAATCTATGTTATGGATTACAATCAACCAAAAATTAGATAGCTGTTAGTATGACAGTATTTACACAACTATGAATACTTAGTCGGAGAAATAGAAGTCGCGTTTTTTCATCTGAAACATGCTGCGGTTTATTTTCCAAAGCCACTCATATAATGCAGAAACACTCAAGCAAGCAAAACACGTGCAACGCGTGCAGGTATTTGTACTGATGCAGAATAGTACAGCCTAGTGCATTTCACACAGGCTGCTAGATTCACTTTCCCCAGAAAGTCGTGTATGCCTAAGGTTAAAAATAAATGATGTTTATAGTGAATGTCCCTATAAATGGTCTTATTTTTACTATTTAGTTTTAATCCAAATGATGCGTGTGCTAAATGAGTGAACAAGTGAGTGAACATCAAAGATTACACAACAGAATTGCGCTCTCTCTCTCTCTCTCTCTCTCCCTACCGTTAAGTAACTTGTGCATTGTTTTACTTACTTGTTTTTGACATATCCGACCGAACTACAAACTTTCCAGTGATGTCTGTGAGAAAGGTATATTCATTCGACAAGCTCGCGCATCTGCACCGCAGCTTAGTACTGTAATCACGCGCTTTGCTGTAATAATGCAGGGAACCACTCGTTACAAATCTCCTGTGATATTTTCAGAAATAGAAGTCGCTCAGTATCGGGCCTGATACCGATACCAGTATCGGTATCGGTGCATCCCTAATTAAAACCGTATTCGATTACCGTCATTTGAACAACTGAGGGTAAATAAATACTGCCCAGCATAAAGCAAAGTTTTTAGTAACAGTGTCACGTGCGCACAGCATGCAGAGTAGTTTCGTTTTTTGTGAAAAAATGGTGGAAAAGCTGGGAGGTTTTAAAAGTGCTAAGGGAATTACAAAAATGAATATACAAATGAATTAATTATATGAATGCAACTCTGAAGGTTCTGACTGTCTTCAGAAAAGATTCGATGGCATTTTGTTTTCATCTTCACTCCATGTAATGCCTAATAAAGAATTGTTCTTATCGCAATGCTGCTTTGTCCACGGAGGTTACGGGAAACGGCTCTAATTCTGCTGTTACATTAGCGCCACCTGCTGTCAGAGAGTGGATTTACATAGAGTTACATTTACATTCAGGCTGTGTGCAGTATTTGTCTGGCCAAAAAAATGCACCGAATTTGCATAACCTGCTGTAAATTTTGACTGGTTGATGAAAAACAAGCTTATGTGGATTCTACACATTTACATAATTCGGATAAGGTATCTAGAATTATTTATGTAGCAGATAAAATCCATATAATCATTTATTAATCAATTATCATTTTGACCTAACCCTTTTCTTTATTTAAAGGCTGAAATGTGAGAAACTTTTCAATTACATTTTATGAAACGTTTCAAAGCTATAATTGAACATTTCGTACATGCTATTAGATAAACTGTTGTCAGTCATGCTGTCATTTAAAATCCGGACATCATTATGTGTCTGTACTTTTTGAACATATCCAGCACATTTTAACAATACCGTGATAATACTGATAACCATGATAATTTAGGTCACTATAATTGTGATAAGAAATTTTCATACCATACACATACTAGTATGTGTTTATATTTAAGTAACATTTCATTTGGTTTCTCTCTGTGTCTCTCCAGTGTGTGTCATCGTGGGTTCTTTAACTGCACATATTCGCCATGTCCAGCGGTGTGCACCATTTACAGTGACCGACATTACCACACATTTGATGGCCTGGAGTATGATTATGTCAGCGACTGCCAGGTCTACCTGGTCAAGGTACTTCCTGAGTGTGCGCGTTTGTGATTTTGGGTACACTAGCAAAGAAAAAAAAGCCAAAATGCAGACCTATAAATCTAATATTTGTTTATTTTGAACTAGTTTTAAAACTTTGTTTGAAAGTTTGGGGTCAGTAGTAAATTCAAATGAACAGCAGTTTTTGATGTAGAAATATTTTGTAATCACTACAAATGTATTTATTGTCATTTGTTTTATAAATTTAAAGCATATAAAACTTAAGTATAATGTATTTTACGAAAAAAAAAATCATATTCACCCCAAACCATTTTTAGGTTACTGGCATTACTGTATAATGCCCACCCTCCACTGTAGATATAACCATCGGTCATTTAAAAAACCCACAGTGGTTGACAGTTTTACCATGGTTTCTGGACATGTACCATGGTAATAGTGCTTTTTTGTGTGGGTAAGCTTAAATGTAAGAGTAAGCATATCTTTGTGTACAAGTTCTGTAAAACGGTGACGATTGTTTGCCTTGTGTGCTGGTCTTAGGACCAAGTGGAGAGGCGCTTACCAGTTTGCCTTCAACAAAGAGTGTGTTCACCAGTTGACCGTGTTGCACCTTTAATGCGAAGAATTTTTAACGAAGGGCCAAAGTGTGTGTGCGTGTGTGTGCTCTCACACGTTGCGGACTTCAGTAGGAACGGATAAAGTAGCAGGAAAAGAGATCTGCTTCTACCGCCACTAATCTTGGGAAAATCAGAGGGGATTTTTAATTAGAACAGGGCTGTGGTAATAGAGCCAGAGTTAATGTCAGTCCCAGCACAGAAACTCAGCAAAGAGCCGCACATAACAAAGAGCAATCTGTTCCCTATCAGCCTACGCAATGCAACCTGCTACTGGCCTTAATGACTGAGAAAGTGTGTTTGCGTGTGTGCGTCGTTTGTGTGTGTGTGGATGCTTAAGATGCAGGTGAATAGACTTTGGTGTCTCCTAAAGGCCAGTGATTCTCTGAGGAGTCTACTGATCTACCCAGGGGACAGACTTTTCCATCACGACAAAAAGAAATGGCCTTAGTCACACACACACACACACTCACAACAACACACTAGGTTTCATTGCTTAAAATATGATACAGCAATGCATTGATTATTTAAATATGATGTGTCACTTTTCAATGTTAAATTACTTTCTCTTGTCCTAGTTTAATATGCAGATATACAGATCTATAATTAAGACATTCATTGGTAGATTTCCTGAAGAGTGTAAACAAAGTGGCTCTGTGGTGCTTTCAAAACATTGTTCGTTTGAGAGGTCCAACATAACAGCTTCTTGCTCAACCAATGGGATGAGACTGGGGTGGGATTACCGTTCAAAAGATTAAGTCAGTTATACTCACCAAGGCTGCATTTATTTGATCAAAAACACAGTAAAAATAGTAATATTATTAATTGAAAACAGTTGTGCTGGTTAATATTTTTGTGGAAACCATGATTTTTTTTTTCAGAATAGAAAGTTCAAAAGAACACAATTTTTTTTTAAATAGATATCTTATTATAAATGTCTTTTTGATTAATTTAATGCATCCTTGCTGAATAAAAATATTAATTTCTTTAAAAATAATCTTACTGGACCCCAGATTTTTTGCAGTTTTGTTTGATTGATGCTGGTGACACAAAAATCACACACTTTGTCTTTAAGGAAAGGTGTTGTTTTTCAGAGGTAGAAATGATAAAGTGTCATGTATCGATTGCACACTATAATTGCGACAATCTTGTATCTAAATGTAGAGTGTTGGTGAGACTGAGGTGTCCATCATGGCTCAAAATAAAGATTGCTACGAAAGTGGCATTGTCTGCATGAAGTACCTGCTCATCTATGTTGGACTTACTAAAATCTACTTCAGTGACAACTCTGGTAAACCTGTGAGTAAAAGACATATCCCATCTTTAGCTGATTAATGGCACATTTGTCCTTTCATAAACTAGGAGACTGGTAATTGTTTCAATGTTAACTTGTAGTCTGTATTTACTGTAGTCTGTGTTGATTTGAATTGGTTTGTGTTTGTCCTCCAGAGCTCTTCTACTGTTGTGGGAAGAGGATATGAGTTTCAGTTATGGGGTGCGGGATACTACACTGTGGTCCACTTTCCTGCTCAAGATCTGACCATTTTATGGGACCGCAAGACCACTGTCCATATTCGTGCTGGACCCCAGTGGAAGGTCAGTAGTTCTCTCTGAATCAGCAGTATAATTTAATACTCTATAAACTGTATTTCTTATTATAATGTATTTAGCTGTGTTTTTAGGGTCAGATGAGTGGTTTGTGTGGAAACTTTGACATGGTAACAGTTAATGACATGACCACGGCTGGACATATGGAGGTCAGTAACGCACAGGCCTTTGGAGACAGCTGGGCTGTTGGACAGGTATGACACTTCAGGATACTATGAGACTGGAAAATGTATCACAGTCCAAAAAACAAAAAAAAAACAGTTAAGCAGTACAACTGTTTTCAGCACTGATAATAGTTCTTGAGCAGCAAATCAGCATATTAGAATGATTTATGAAGGATCATGTGACACTGAAGACTGGAGTAATGATGCTGAAAATTCAGCTTTGCATCACAGGAATAAATTAGATTTTAAAATATATGAAAAAAACTAAAACTAAAAATAGAAAATTATATTTCAGTTTTTACTGTATTTTTGAACGAATAAATGCAGCCTTGGTGATTATAAAAACCTTGTTTTAAAAACATTTTACAAATCTCATTGACCCCACATTTTGAACGGTGGTGTATTCTTAACATTTTTCATGCTAACTGTGGTTTCTGCCATAGATTTATTACTAGTGTAAAATCACAGTAAACTGCACTGTACACTAGAGTTACACTAGAAGTTTAGATTGACTAAACAGCTTTTATGTGTTTATGTGTGTGCAGTGTGAGAGCGACTTTGTAGTTCACAGACCATGTGAAGGAGATCTCAGTCGGCAGCCGTATGCTAAGCGGGAGTGTGGCCTTCTCTACAGTGACGTATTTGCTCCATGTCACAATGTGGTGAGCAGCTCTCCTCTGGGGTTTAACAACACATTTGGCCTACAGATAAAAAGGCCACGTCTTACCCACAGCCACACACAGGCTGGAAGACGGCATCAGAAAGACACACACACACTGTCTGACTCTGCAATGAACCATCTGATAGAAGCTTTGAGATAGTTTGCCATTCAAAATCTGGCCACTAGGGGGCTGTAAAGGTTTGAAAAGCTAGAACATTCCACCATTCACACATTCAGGTGGAAGTCAATAGTCCTGAGTGTGTGTTGCATAACCAATTGTGTGACAGGCTAATTGGGATTTTAGGGATCCATGTATTGTGTGTAACTAATACTTGTGGTCCCAAAGGTGGATGTGACCTGGTTTTATAAGAACTGTCTGACAGACACCTGCAACTGCAACCGTGGGGGTGACTGTGAATGTCTGTGCACCAGTATTGCAGCATATGCACACAAATGCTGTCAAAATGGTGTCACAGTGAACTGGAGATCCCCCACTGTGTGTCGTGAGTACAAGCACACACATAAGGAAGCACATGAACTTTTGACCCATTTATGCTGACTGTCATTGAGGTTAATGGGTCAAAGACGAAAAGGGGTTTTCAAGCATCAAAACAATTAAAGTTTAATACAGCTTCAAATTAGAATGTGTCCTGTTTAATTTTATTTTTATCTGAGCAAAAAATAATGACTGTCATACATTTTTACCTTGATTTATAGAAGACACCCACTTAAATGTCATTCAGTGTAGCAATAGCTCATATTCCAAGAAATCTTGTTAGGCATATTTAGAACCAGAATCATTAGATGACATTAAAAGACTCACAGAATCACAGTGCAGCCCCTCAAAACTAATAAATTGACATTTTAAATCTTTACCAATGTTTGCCACTATCCTACAAACCACTAGGTTTTACCCATTTGTCAGCAGTTCTTAAGTTTTTAATCATTTAAAATATAATGAAATTTAGTATGATCACATTTCCTTTTATATATTTTAAGAGGTACATGTTATTACATTTTTACATAAATATGTATCTGTTACGCTGATTGACGATGGAACATTATTTCAACCATATTTTGACATTTTATATTCACAAAGGTTATTTGAAACATTAAAGTAGACACTTTACTTGCATTTAATATGCTTTCTATTTATATAAAATCACTTTTTTAAATTTAATTTGATGAGGACACCAAAATGAGATGTCTTGTCTTTGGCCCTAATACCCACAGACAAACCAACATTTCTAATGCAAAACTAACCCAGCATTCAGTTTGTACTTTTCAAAACTGCTCCTCTTTGCTGTCAGGATCTGTTTATATAATAATACTTTGATTACGTATTCTGTTTCAGTTGCAGATTTGTCACATTAAAAAAGTTAAATGTGCAGCTAATGCTGTTTCATGTTGCTTTTTAAGCTGGTAATGTTGAAATAACGCATGCAAACTCATAATACTACTTGATTGCGGCTAATATAAGTATTTTTCTTTTAACAGCATATGACTGTGAATATTACAACCAAGGTAAGAATTGTTTATTATGTTTATTTGCCTAGAATACTTCTGTAAGCACCAGAAGATCTTGGCGCTAACCTTTTTATTTATGCATGCTTGTTTAGAGTTGGGAGAGGGTCCGTTCACTCTGTCCAGCGCAGAGCAGAATGACTCTGCATGTGTGTTTGGGGCAAATGTGAGCAGTGGTGAAGTGTTTCCCCTCCTGAGGACCAATGCTCAACCCAGCACCATTTTCCACTTCATGATCACAACTGGACTATATAAGGACCGAGCCTCCAGTGAGCACATACTCTTCACATCAACATCAAAACAAATAAGTGAAAGAAATCACAGAAGAAAGAGATTAAAACTAATGTGCAATCAAACACATGCTTACATGCAAAATACAATGACCTGGTGTTTTCATTTTGTTGGAGTGGATCGGTTTGCATTAAATGCTGCTCCACACTAACTCCATCTTTGCAAGAGCTGTGAGTTTGGGTCACTTACAACGTGCATTTGAAAACGCAACACACAAACCACGTTCCCAAATTTCTGACAAGAATCATTTATAAATCTGTTGTCGGCAAAAGAGAAGTCTCTGTGGTTTTCTGTAAAAATAAAAGCTCTATATTTAACATTTGAAAGCAAAATAATTAATATTAGTATATTAGTATTGTAATTTTACTGTTGTACTGTAAAATAAAATAATAATTGTTTTGTATTTTACAGTATGATAGTATTAATTGCTAGTAATGTATTTCTTCATTGATTTGTTTCATTTTTATAATTGCAATAATAAAATTAAAATATTATTTTGAATAATAATTATTATTAAATGTCCGATTTTTTTATTTTACATTACAATAGTATTATTGCAACTGTAATATTTCTTTATTGATTTATTTTATTATTTAAAATTTAAATAATAATAGTAATAATAATAAACGACTGAACAAAATCGACCAGCTTCTGAAACAAAATTATTCATTGTTTATCTCTACCATTTATTTTTAGGCTGAATAATAGCATCTACTGATGTTGCATTTTTTATTTTGCACTGTTTCAGGACTTCCTGTTGCTTCACTGGAGTCTGCAGAGAGGCCCAACTACTTTCTGTGTGTTACTGGGAACCGTGGGTTACGATTGGAACACTGGCAGCCTGGGGAAGAGTTCAGACGGAAGGCGACCTTCATCCACCACCAGGGTCTGTGGTTACCTGGGCGATCTTCCTTTGAGTTGCACAGTCAGAAGGGTGTCTTCCTCACTCTTTCTCATACACATGCACGTGTTCAGAACTACGACCACTCATTCACCTTCAAAATCAGCAGCAGTTTTATCATTGAGGGTAAGACCGGTCTGCAAATATCTATATTTATTTATATATATACACACACACACACACACACACACACATATACATACAGAATTGTTTTATATATATATATATATATATATCAAATATGCTGTGCAAATATAAATTATCTTATCATCAGGCCCATATTACCTACACTGATTGTGGAATGGATATAAATATAGTGCAGTGTGTTAAAGAGAGCAGGCACACTTATTGGAAATGTGGAGTTCTGCTGATGCACGTCATATAAGCTCATATTACACCGAAAGTACACTTAAAAAGCTCCTATAAAACAACAAGCTTATCAACCTCATTTGCAGTGCTTTCTCTAATGTCTCTAATGTTTGTGATGGCTGTGTTCCTGCATTTTAGAGAGCAGTTTTGTGATCCCCTACCGCTTGATGTGCGAGTGGAAGTATCATGCATGTGCCAGTCCATGTGTGAAAACATGCAACGACCCCGATGCCACACGCTGCCAGTTTTTACCTCCGTAAGATCATGTGCATATGCCAATACAATAATATATGTGACAGTTATACAAAAGGTGCTTGGTAAGGCAGGTATTATGCATTGTCATGTTTTACTACAAAATCAAAAGGAAGATATTTATGAAAAGAAAGTCTTTAGGACTAGGGGACGGGGCCTCAAGATGACAAAAAATGATTACAGTACAGTACAGTTCTTGAAACTTTTGAAGTCACAACATGAATCATGGTTACTGAATTTAATTAAAATCAGCACTCCCAGATTTCGTTAATGAAAAAATGTAATATAAAACAAGCCTCTTTATCATAATTACAGCAATAATACTGAAAATAGCTTATATTATGGAGCCTTCGAATATAGTATAAGCTATATATTAGAGGAGCCTCTGAGTCAAAAAGTATGAGAACCACTGCTTTGGGAGCATTAAGAGTTTTGCTCTGTGACATTATCATGGCAGTTAATCACTTAATACACTTAAAAGCATACTTTTTTACAGTAATGAAAATCTAATGAAAATCATCAATGAGGATTATAAAATAAAGACTAAATCAGAAAACTCAATTAAAACATCTGGATACATTGCAGTAATTTTGGAGCGAGTATGGATGTGTTTGTCATGAAAATCATGTCACAATGCATAAGAAAATGTTAAACAGGCTACATGTTCTTTATCAAAATCCAATATTAGGAGGAAAATATGACCTAGACGTATTGTTATGAGATTCACCCGTACAATTTCTTTAGAAAAAGTAAAAATCCAAATCTGTTGTCTTTCACTGTGATCTGGTTTAGAGTTGAAGGTTGTTTTCCACGTTGTCCCAAGTCTATGCTGTTGGACGAAGTGACCAGGCGGTGTGTTTACAAAGAGGACTGTACGTGTAAAACCATCATTTGCATCACTTTCATCTTCATCCTCTCTTTTATAAACATGTATGCACACTGTTAGATTTGTCTTAGCACCTGTGTTGTTTCTGATGTGCTTGCAGGTGTGATACTGTCTCCAACTCCGACTCCTTACATGTTCGTGACCCGATCAAACAGAACCACGTCGACTCCAACCTCTGCTCCCACAACCACAACTACAACCACAACAGCTTCCTCCACTACAATGGCAACACCAAGCACCTCTCCGAGCACAACTGCCAGTACTACAATCATAACTACACCTTTGGAAACAGATTATTTAATTGGCAGCCCAACTACACCCACATTACCACCAACCACAGTCTCTTCAACTTTGGCTGCCACCACCTCCACTGAAACTCCCACAACTCCCTCTCCACCAACCACAGAACCCCCTCTAGTCAGCACTGCCCCACCCACCACCACAGCCATGCCCACTACAGAGCCCATAACAACAGTTTTAACCACTTTATTATCTACCTCGACCACAGAGATGCCAACCACACCCGAGACCACCACCGAACCAGAGACAACGTCTCCAACAACCACCGTCCTGCCTGTTACAACCACCACTGTCATTACAACCAAGACCACAACGTCAGAACCGACTTCAACAACCTTCACCACTGAGACAACATCTGTCTCCACAACAACCGAGGAGCCCTCAACTACCACAGCAGCCGTACCAACAACCTCTGAGATATTGCCTTCACCCTCCCCTTCACCGGAGACAACAGGAATAACAACAGTGCTTCCTCCGTTCCTTCTACCCACAGGACCTTGCACGGTAAGAGTTCACTGAATAAATACAATTTTAAAACTTGCAGGTAAAGATTAAGAATCAGAGAATTGTTAAAGTCTCATTCCTAGTTTGTCTGAGTGTTCTAAGAAAAATATGTTTTGCCAGTGATATGTTTTGATTCATCTTCCCTGATGGATTCAACAGTACTAAGTGAGAGTTGATATCTCCCATTTCCCTCCCTGACCTGGATACCTCTCTGACACATTTACACACACATGCTCATAAATATTCACATCTTCAAGATTAGTCGGTAATCCACATAGAGTGAACACTACTTCCAGTCTTAACTCCTTGTTCTTGAGTCATTCCTGTCCACTTGCCAAGATGTTGATGGCCTGAGGGAAGAATCATGAGTTAAGATGCAGTACAGTGAATAATTGATGAATCTGTCATAATATAACACAAGAACAGGCATCAGAAAAGATAACTGATCAATGCGTACTGCCTGAAATCATCCCAAGGTGCCTTATATAGTTTTTGGTGGTGGAAGGGTTTATGTGCTGTCTGTCTCATGAGCGTCTCTGTTTTGTATCCATACAGCCTCCTTATTCATTACGTGTGGATGAGTGCAGTGAGTACATCTGCTTTAATAGACAGCTGATGCTGCATAATTCCTCTCAGCACTGCAGATACAACATCAGCCAGCCACAGTGCGACCTGCTGGGCACACCGATCCAGACCAACACAGACCCCTGCTGCCCACTGTGGCAGTGCCCATGTAAGACATACACACGACCATTCAGATTTGCTCTAGATGGGAGGTGGTTATATCTGTGGTATTTTAGTAGTAGTTATATACTATTGTATTTTACTTTTTCATTTTAATTTATTTTTAGTCATTTAGTTTTTTATGTTTTAGTTTTTTTTAATGTTTCTACAGTATATAGATTTGATTTATTTTCGACTTATTTCAGTTAGTTGCAAAGGCAACATTACTTATTTTCCCTTAAGTTTTTTTTTTTAGTTTAAAGGTCTGTTCACACGATAACTAATAACTATAGCAATAACACTTAATATATAGTTTTAAAAATCATTCTAACTTGATAAGAATATCCACAACTACAATGGTAATAACGCAGAAATTATCATTGGAATCACTTTCAAAATGATTTTTTTTTCCCAGCTGATGAACGCTAAAAACTTTGACAGCCAATCAGTCTCCATCCTACTTTAAAGAGCTCAAGCATTTAAAGCGGCTGATGAAAAAACTGCTGCGCACGCTTATAATAAACAGAACATGATTGTGCATTGGTGTTGACTCTAATAAAGTTATCTTTATTGTTGTTGTTCTTGGTGTGAACAGACCTTAATTTTTTCATCTAACATTTATATTCTATTTTAGTTAATGAAAACAATTTTTAATAGTTTTAGTTAACAGTAAAAACATTGATTAAGTTAAAGTGTTTATCAGAAACACTTTATCATGTTATTGGCTTTTAATGTTTGTGTGTACTGTCAGGTCGCTGCTCTATAATCTCTGACCTGCGTGTGATCACGTTTGATGGGAATAATGTGGCTCTGTATGATATCGGTTCTTATATTCTGGTCCACCTGCCCAGAGAGAAAATAGTCGGTCACATTGAGAAATGTCCAACCAGTGAGGTAAACCCATGCTATCACTTTACCATGAAGAAATGTACTGTCTTCTATATATGCTTTTCACATTTTATTGAATGCTTGACTTTTGCTTCCAGAGTGTGAACTACATCAGGAGACCTGTAAGTGTGTTAAAACGTTATCTACTGTATTATAATCATCCTAATGAGGATCACAAGCTCATTTACCTTCTCTCTTCCTGTTAGACTCCCTCTGGTGGAACCTCTGGTCTGTGTTTTAAGAAGCTGAACATTACAACTCAATCGTACAGAATTATGGTCAACCGCTTGGACCGGAAGGTAATGCTGGCAAGATTTTACCTGTTTAGTCATGAAGTCATGTTGTTCTTAACACAACAAAACGCAAAGCTGTATTTTTAGTAGCTATTATTTCAGCAGCCATTAAATAATATCAAATTGTTTGTTTTTGAGTAAACTGAGTAAAATCCAAGAAAATGGCAATTGAAATTTGTTAACCAGGCAAAAGAAATTCTCATTTATTTAAAAGTCAAAATTATATAATAATTCATGCATCTTGTGTCTCCGCTTAATCGTGGCTCATAAAAGTGATTTATTTTGTTGAGTAACAATGGTTTGATCTGACACAGGTTTCGGTGAATCAGATTACGGCACGGCTTCCTCTTACAAGGCAGAACCTCCATATTGATGACACCGGGACCATGTACATCATTAATACACCTGGTTGGATCAACATAAAGTGGTACCACAGCACTGGCATCATGGTCCTACAGTACACGGCTCCTGATAACACCTCCACTAGGGGGCTCTGTGGTCAGTGTGTTGTACTTGCACTTTGTAGACAACTGTGACCATGAAATCAAATATGTCCCTGTTTACTTTCTTAATCAGTATCTGTGATCTTATTGTGCACAAATTATCAATGCATGTTTGTGCTAAAGAAGAAAAATGCTTTTATAATCTTTCATCAAAATGTAAACTTTTCTGCTGATGTAATCAGGTTTCATGGGTGGGGAAACATATTTGTAAACAATAATATAATATCCTACTTTTCACAATATGTCTAAACCCAGATAAAAAATGTCTCACTCTGCATGAATATTTATTTAGTTTCATTCTGAAATATGTCACATTCTAGAAGCTAAATGTGTTTTTTCATGTTGCTTTTAATAATTTAACAGCCTTCGGTCATTGGTGGTCATGTAAGTGTGTTTGATGTATTTTGTTACCAGCGTATTTTGTTTTCTTTCTCAGGATGTTGTGATGGTAATCCAGCTGATGACCTGCGGCTGCCCAATGGTACAGTGGTCCGGGATATTGAGGACATCCCAGTATTTCTGCACGGATGGATGGTGGATACGTCAGAGGATACAGATTACTTCCGCAGAGTGGGAGACAACTGCACCACCGGCAACTGCTCCAAATGTTTCACCATGCTCAACCAGAGACCTTTCTCTAAATGTCACCACAAGGTACTACACACAAGCTTGAATACATATTCATGTGCAGGCATCCTATTTACATCCATTGCTTTTAATAAGCAAATAAGCTAATAAGTTAGCTATAAAATCTTATTTAGTTTGTTCACATTTTAAATAATTAAATAATCATTACATTTTCGATATACATAATTTGGCCCATATACTGTATTAACTCTTATATTTTACACTTTGTCCTCCCATTTTCAACTATGTTGTTATTGCTGACTAAAACTTAAACTATTACAAATCAGTTATAATAATTAAAATAAAGCTGAAATAAATAAAATATAAATATTACATTAAAAACTTATAAACAAAAATCTAAAAAAACTGAAATGTTGCATTGGCACCTGAAATAAAAGCTAATAAACCTAAATAAAAGTAAATACAAGTTTGAAGTTTAAAAAGTTGGAAGTACTAAACTTACTAAAATAAAAATAAATCAAAGCAAAATAGAAAAATAGTAACAAAAGCCCATAACAAAATTACTAAAGCAAACAAATTAAAATGAAATATAAAATAAAGGCTAATTCAGAATATTAATAAATACTATAATAGTATATAAATAGTACTAAAACAACACAGATTTTTACTTTAATTTGACATTTTATGTTTAATTTGTGAAAGTTCATACTTGCCCTACATGTGACTTGACCATTTTATATTGGATTATTTTTTCCAAATGTTGTTTTGAAGGTTTCTCCAGAACACTTCTGTGATAAGATATGGGCTGGTGACCTACATTATAAAGAGCATGAGTGTGACTTCCTGGCTGCTTATGTGGCCATTTGTTACACGCATCAGATCTGTTTCAGCTGGAGGAAAAGCAACTTCTGCCGTGAGTGTGTTTACAGATACTGTTTGGACGCATTTTCATAAAGGTTTTTGCTTAAATGCTTAATTTTTGACTGGTAGCATATTTTTTTCACTTTTGCATATTTGTATGTGTTTGTACATGCAGCACTCAAATGTCCTCCTGGTAAAGAATATAAACCCTGTGTGAATACATGTAAGACTCGGACATGTCAAAACCGAGATTACTATGAGGAAAGCATCTGTTCTTCTATCAGAGAGGAGTGCGTTTGTAAAAGCGGTACCATCCTGCACCGAGCAGACTCTGCCTTCTGTGTCACCGAGGACCAGTGCGGTGAGAATGCCACACTATGTGTTTGCTCGCATGAAAAATAAAGTGCTGTTGTGATAATGGCCTGTTATTTCCATGTGATCAGTGTGTACGGGTAACGATGGTGCTCCACACGCCCCGGGTGAGGTGTGGAACGGCTCTCTGCGTGGCTGCTGTCTTTTCAAGTGTCTGGAGAACGGTAGTGTGGTTCCTGTAGAACCCGACTGCAGTTATGAACCTGCTCCACTGTGTGAGAGGGAGGGAGAGTATGCAGTCGATGTGCTGGAGGAAGGAGTCTGCTGTCCTAAGAAGATTTGTGGTAAAAAAAAAACACATGGATGTATAATTCACAAATCCATCAGAAATAGTATACCATCCTGGCACATTTGATGTACTATTTTATTTTATTTTTTATATATATACTATGAGCTGGAAAGCTCTAATCACTAATGCTAATCTCACATACAATATGTACTACAGTTCAAAAGTTTGGGGTCTTTTTTTTTTTTGAAAGAAAGAAATTTGTACTTTTACTCTGCAGTTGTGCATTAAATTACTCTAAACTGACAGTGAAGAGAATAAATGTATCACAGTTTCCACAAAAAAAAAAAATCAGCACAACTGTTTTCAACATTGATAATAATCGGAAATGTTTCTTAAGCAGCAAATCAGCATATTAGAATGATTTCTGAAGGATCATGTGACACTGAATACTGGAGAAATTACATTTTAAAATGTATTACAATAGAAAACATGTATTTTAAAATGCAGTAATATTTTACAATATTACTGTTTTTATTGTATCAAATAAATGCAGTCTTGGTGAGCATAAGAGACTTCTTTCAAAAACAATAAAGTTGACAGAAATCTTAATTAGATACATGCAAAACATTTAGATTTTATCTTTCTGCATGAAAATTATTTATCCTGTTTGTTTGTCCCCATTCTCTGTATAAATATGTTTATTAATTGTATTTACCTGTTTTTGTTCTTGCCATGAAAATAGCCTTAGATGCTAATATGGCACAAAACATCCAAATAAATAATGAAACAAATCAGATATGCACATTAAAAATGTACAGTATTTCCAAGAAAATATGCGTGACTAATGCTCGTGTCTTTGTGTGTAGAATGTAACCTCACCATCTGTCAGAGTGAAGTGCCCAGCTGTGAGAATGGAGACAAGCTGGTGATTGGTTACAGCACTCTGTCCTGCTGTCCTGAATACAGATGTGGTAAGAGCTCATGTAATACTTACTCTGATTGGCTGTTTATTTGGTCAGTGGACAAAGGTCAGACTTCTGATTGGTCTCTGTTAGAATGTGATCCGCTGGCATGTCAGAGTGTTCCTGCCCCGATCTGCAGAGAAGATCAATTCCTATACACACACACACACACACACACACACACACACACACATATATATATATATATATATATATATATATATATGTACTAAACATATGATTTAAAATAATTATATTTAGTAATTGTGAAGCCTGTATATAGTATAAATAATTTATTATAAATGTATATAAATACACAAAGATATATTTGTAATTATAATTATTTGTAATGCTTTAAAATATACATTATAATGTAAAACATATTTACATAAGACACTCTTAAAACGTTCATTTTTTTGTGGCATGCTATAGTAATAATTTGAATATGTTTTGCAGTGTGCGAGTCCTGTATTGACCCTGTACCAGTGTGTCTGCCTGGAGAGATACTGGCTGTGGATGTGAACACCACTAATCACTGCTGTCCACAGTATCATTGTGGTAGTTATAACAAACACACAAGCAGTCACTGTACTGAAGTGCCCAGTCATTTTGTGTTTCGTAATGAAAGGAGAAACGTGACGGGTTTAAAGGCTGTGTCTTGCTCTTTCAGTGTGTGATACGAGTCTGTGTCCTGAGCCCAGTGTGAGTTGTGCTCCTGGAGCTGTGCTGGTGAAGAGACCTGTGCTGGACAGCTGCTGCCCAGAGACACACTGCGGTACTGGACACATGCACACTTACCTAGATATCTAAACAATGACTTCGATAATCAAGATAATTATACTTACTACAGAATAATCCTCAGACCCTTCATTTTAGAAGGCATTATTTTGTCCCTTTATGCACTATTATTCCTTTTGTGAATATTTATTATTTTTTGTTGATTTAGAAAACCTCTGTGGATATTTTTTCAACAGTTCTCTTCTAAATAAAGCTTAACTAAAGCATGCACAAGCACAAAGATAGAGAAATATTACACTAAAATGTAACATGCTATTGCCATGTGTTTTGTACATGAGTACAGTGTAAATTGCACAATATACTTAGCACACTACCGTTCAAAATTTTGGTGTCTGTAAGATTTTTTTTTAAAGAAATTTATATTACTATTCAGTAAGGATGCAAAAATTTATCAAAAGTGACAGTAGAGATATTTGTAATGTTACAAAATATTTATATTTCAAATAAATTTCTCTTCATCAAATTTCTGTTGTATTCATACATGTTCTATTCATCAAAGAATCTTGAAAGCGCAACTATTTTCAACATTTCAGCAAATTATTTTTCTGAAGGATCATGTGGCACTGAAGACTGGAGTAATGATGCTGAAATTTCAGCATTGCATCACAGGAATAAATTACATTTTGAAATATATTACAATAGAAAACAAGAATAATATTTCACTATATTACTGTTTTGAGAAATAAATGCAGCCTTGGTGAACAAAAAAATTTAAACATTTTACCCACCCCATACTTTTAAATGGTAGTTTATGAATCAAAGTTCCATGTAATGCCATCACTTTACCATTGTATTGTCATATAAGTATTTTTTTTTAACTATACTTACAGTTTCATTTGTAACATTTGTTGTTTTTAGAATGTCAGTGTCACAACGTTACACTTCCTGTCTGCACTGTGGTAAGTGTTTTAAAATGTATTCTGTGTGTGAATACTGTGTGTATATATAGTGCATTTTGTTGCCATAGTGAATTCTCCTGTAACCACAGTGTTATACCGTGACCTTTGTGTTAAAGGGTGAAATGAGAGTGGAGGAACCAGACCCCGGCGGCCCGTGTGGATGCCCACTGTATCACTGCAGTAAGACTCGTACAAACACTAACACACTCCAAATGCCACACTATTCAGTGAAACTGAAATGCAAGTGCTTGTTTATGTGTCTCTGTGTGTATGTGTGTGTAGAGAAGGCAGAAGTGTGTCTGTTTCAGGGCGTAACGATATTGAACCCGGGCCAGTCTATGATGCAATATTTTGAGGGGGAACTGTGTTACACCGTTCAGTGCCTCACACATAAAGACCCCAGCACCGGGTTCTACGCCATGGAGGTCACCACTGCCAACTGCTCTGAGAAGTGTGAGCCTGTAAGTCGCATGACTAATGCAACTTTCAATATATGTATTAACAGTTACTTCCACAAATATGAAAAATGTTGCATGATTTTCCATGAAATTCATGAATTTGAAAAGGGATATAAGATGAAAGAAAATAGGTATTTTACATGAAATATTTCAGTGTACAATATAGTCAATCATAACAGAGGTGCAGCACTACTTTCAGACATCTAAGGGTTTTGGTGCAAGAAAATTTGAATAACATTCAAGAAGTGGATTTCAGGAAATAAACAATGCGTCAGAAGTGTTGAATATAACCTATCTTGGACAATACTGTATTATATTTACATTGGATTTTCCCAATATTATGGGATTTTCTTGTATTGTGTGTTATGAGTTTATTATTTATGTATTTTTTTGCATTTATATATATATATATATATTTTTTTTAATATTTTGTTTTATATTTCTGTTACTGTAGCATCAGGTTTATGTCCCATCATCTGATCCACATGTGTGCTGTGGCTCCTGCAAAAACATCTCATGCTCATATCCCAGTGAAAACGGGACTACAGAAGTATTTATGGTAATCTGCACTCACCATCTGGTACTTTTTGTTAACCTTGTAAAGCCTGACTTATAAAATCATAGTCAGAAAAATCTAATTTTTTGAAATGGAAGAGTTTATTGAACCTTTAGACAAAATATTTTTTAAATCTATATGCATATGTGTTTTTGTTGAGTATGTGATATTTGATACTTCAGGCTTTTATGGCTCATATAATATGATATAAGAGAATATGAAGCTCATTCTCGAGAAGGAAAAACACCTCAATATTATTCAGGAGCAAAAATATGCAATTTGGTGCAGTTGCTGATATTCATATGACCACAACGTTAGATGAAATTCTGATGCTTGTAATGTGAATCATTGAGATCTTTATAACAGTATAGCAGACATGAATTACATATAAATTTTACTTGTCACTCTATATCTTCCAATAAGTAAGATAATATTTAAATGCTTAGTTTTATGATCATATAATATGCAAAGATAATTAAAAAAAAAAAGGTCCCTTTTAGACTTGCACTCTATTCATTTACTGCTTGTTTTCTTAAAAAAAAAAAAACTAACACTAGCTTTTCTAATCTTTTTGTATTCTATATGCTTGTTTTCTTTTTATTTATTATACAATTAACAAAAGCAAAAAAGGCCTCTAACACTAGCTTGCTCTATTCTTTTTCTATTCTATGTTTTCTTTTTATTTATTATATAATAATTAAAAAAAACCTTGCTACGTGTATTGCGTTAAGCTAACTGAGACTTGTTATAGCACTTGCATATCGTTGCTCTTTTGTTGATTTTGATTGCTTCCATTGTCCTCATTTGTAAGTCGCTTTGGATAAAAGCGTCAGCTAAATGACTAAATGTAAATGTAATTGACAGATATACAAATAAACATTCCTTAGATATGTAATTTTTGATACATTTAAACATGATTTCTCTGAAAAATGATGAACCTAACGATCTAAAAGTTATTCTTGTGCTAAATTTATAACAATAAGTAAATATTTCAAAGCAAAAAGACACGTGAACCACAACCTTAAGGGAGATGTTTTTACAATTATACAAAAGGTCCTTTTACTTGCTAAAAAAGTACAGAATTTGATCATGCTGATAATTTAGAGTCCATAGAAATTGGCACATTAAATATGATCCAGTATGCTGTATAGTGTAATCCTAAACTTACCCTTGAAAGAAACTTTCTGCATTTTTGAGAAGAAAAAAAAAAGGTAAAAACATTATTCACTGTATTTGTGAACATTTTCCCCTTTGAGGATGTGCACAAATGGAAATTTTGTCAGATTTTCTGGGGGCATTTTTTAGTAAATTTATCCACAAATTATTGCTACTGTAGGTCAAAAACACACACAAAACCACATCATTGTTTTTATGAAATCCAAAAAGCCTGAGCCTCACATGCATTAACCTGATAGTGTATTTTGATGTGGTTTGCAGGCAGGAAGTTCATGGGTGGCTAACTGCACACGCTTTGACTGTATGGAGACTGCGGTAGGCGCAGTAGTTCTGGCCTCTGGAGTGGTCTGTCCTCCTTTCAATGACACAGAATGTATTCAGGTCTGACTAAAATCAATGCATTCTTATAGCTTTTCTGTAACAGTTTGTGTAGTTGTTCTAAGCTCTGTGCTTTGTGTTTCAGAATGGAGGCATAGTTCAAACGTATGTGGACGGTTGCTGTAAGACATGTAAGTAAGAGTTTCTGGGGCTGGCTGTGCTTTCTGGGAATGCTGGGGGCTGTTTGGAACAGCATGATGGAGAAGCAGTGCTGGGCTTTACTAGCTGCTGGTTGCGTTGTGGTTAGATGCTCCCTGTTGTCCCGGGGAAAAAATGAGCGCTGCTGTACACATCTCATGGGCCTCTTTCATTCTTTTCTTTCAGTTTCAATTTCATGTGCTTTTCCTTGTTTTCAATTCTCTCTATAATATAATGAGTGTACACGCCATGATCTAGGAAGAAGTTTATATATTTCAGCACAAAACAAAGTGCTTACAGGGTTTTTGTGATGAATACTAATGAAAGCCAGATTGCTATATGGTTCTCCTCTCTATACATTCTTAACTTAATCTTTGTCTTTTGTGGCTCAAGCTGGATTTTGTGCTATGGGATTGGTGTTTGTGGTTTTTAAATACCTCTTGTCAAAGCTTGGTGCTTTATGCACAGTATAAACAGGTTCTGATGAATGCAATCAGAATCAGTATGTACAGTAATGACTTGTTTGAGTTACCAATATGGGTTTTTCAGTGGCCCATGTTTCAGTTTTTGATCAGCTTAATGACTTCAAATGATATTTATGCTAAATCTGGGTTCTCATATTTTTGTAATGTCAAGGAATTTTAAAATAATGTGATATCTAAGCCTAAAAATGTAATGGACATTGATCAAATCTAAAAACAAGTTACAGAAACATAATACATTTAATACATTTTCGTTGTCAATATGAAATTCTGCTTGTGTTTAGCTCTAAAATATTTAATAAGCTTGGAATTTTGTGAGTGAATTCGTTATTAAATGATTTTTTAAAATCCTTATCCAGTTGTCTTTAACAATAACTAGAAAAAGAATTGAAAAGTCATGGGAATGAATAGGTTAAAAGGTTTGGGATCCCTATATTTTGCACAATATTTAATTGAAATGCACAAAAACAAATATCAACCAAATATTTGAGCATTTATTGTCTTGGGTTGCATTTTATAAAAGCATAATCCTAAGTAGATCAATATATTGGTCTATCACTAATAATAGCAAAAGCATTATATAAATTTTTTTTAAATGCATTTTTATATTTATATACATCTTGCTGTTCAAAATTTGGGGCCAGCAAAAGTTTTCGAAAGAAGTCTCTTATTCTCACCAAGGCTGCATTTATTTGATCAAAAATACAGTAAAACAGCAATATTGTGAAATATTGTTACATTTGAGAATATCTGTTTAAAAACTAATTTTAATATAATGGAAAATGTAATTTATTCCTGTTATGCAAAACTGAATGTTCGGCATCATTACTCCAGTCTTTAGTGTCACATGATCCTTCAGAAATCATTCTAATATGCTGATTTGATGCTCAAGAAACATT